TCCTAGCTGCTTGCCTTCCTACTTCAGTTTGACATTCACTTGGTACCTACCATAATCCCCTTCGCTTTGTATTAGTCCATTCTCACACTGCTATAAAGAACTACCAGAGACTGGATAATTTATGCAGAAAAGAGGTTTAATTGACGAGCAGTTCTGCAGACTGTATGGGAGGCATGGCTAGGGAGGCCTCAGGAAACTTGGAATCATGGCGGAAGGCTAAGGGGAAACAAGCATGTCTTCACATGGCTGGCAGGATAGAGGGAGAGAAGGGGAAGGTGCTACACACTTTCAAACAACCAGATCTCTTGAGAACTCTATCATGAGAGAGCACTAGGGGGATGGTGCTAACCCATTAGAAACCACCCCCATGATCCCATAACCTCCCACCAGCCTGCACCTTCAACACTGGGGATTACAATTTGACATGATATTTGGGCGGAGACACACAGAGCCAAACCATATCACCCTTCATTTATCTTTTATGTATAAAAGACTCCAAAAATTTCATTCCTGGCTTCTCACATAAACTACTTTCCTATATTTTTATCTGTTTAAAAGATCTCTCTCTTTCTCTCTCTTTTTTTTTTTTTAAGTTGAGACAAGGTTTTACTATGTTGCCCAGGCTCATCTTGAAATCCTGGACTCAAGCATTCCTCCCACTTCAGCCACCTGGACTACAGGTGTGTGCCATTGTGCCTGGCTGCATCTCTGTTTGAATAGTTTTTTTTTTTTTTTTAATTTATAGAAACGAGGTCTCACTGTATTGCCCAGACTGGTCTTGAACTGCTGAGCTCAAGTAGTCCTACCGCCTTGGTCTCCCTAGTAGCTGGAATTGTAGGTGTATGACACCACGCCCGGCTCTATTTGAGTAATCTTTTTTTTTTGTTTGTTTTTGTTTTAAAGACAGAGTCTTTCTGTGTTACCCAGGCTGGAGTGCAGTGGTGCAATCTTGGCTCACTGCAGTCTCCGCCTCCTAGGTTCAAATGATTTTTGTGCCTCAGTATCTCGAGTAGCTGGGACTACAGTGTGCCACCACGCCTGGCTAATTTTTTGTATCTTTAGTAGAGTTGGGGTTTCACCATGTTGGCCAGGCTGGTCTCGAACTCCTGTCCTCAAGTGATCCGCCCGCCTCGGCCTCCCAAAGTGTTGGGATTACAAGTGTGAGCCATTGCGCCCAGCCTCTTTTTGAATAATCTTTAACATCCTATATATGTATGTACTCACCAGTATTTCCTTCAAATCTGCTGTCTTTCCTACCTTTCGGTATCTTTCATGAATATCACAATTGAGTTTTTCATTTCCCCAGTCTAAGGAACTGTAAGTGTTTGGATTTTACTTTTTATGTGTTTATCTGGGTTATTACCTCTTCTCAGGTCTTTTGCCAAATATTTGTGTGTGTGTGTGTGT